CAGTAACTTCCCGTGGCCAGTGTTTATTCTAACACAGTAACTTCCCGTGGCCAGTGTTTATCCTAACACAGTAACTTCCCGTGGCCAGTGTTTATCCTAACACAGTAACTTACCGTGGCCAGTGTTTATTCTAACACAGTAACTTCCTGTGGCCACGGCCTATAATACAACCACCGCCGGTCAGCGGAGCCCCCATCCGAGAAGCCCGGGGAGCGGCGCCAAGCCGAGATGCAGCGCCTGTATGGGGACAGCGCCCCCAAGATCCTGGCCATGGAGGCTGCTGCGCAGCTGAGCTTTGACAAGTACTGTGACAAAAAGCAGCCAAAATGCTGGCCTGTCATTCCCCTCAAGTTCTGAGTCCAGGGCACAGGGGTCCTGGGGAGTGCCTCCTGAATGCAGTTCCTGGGCGGAGGCTCCCTCTTACCTTTGGAGTGTTCTCTTCATCTGTCAGAGAAGGAGGCCTATATGCCGACACAGGGGATGCAACCTGTCAGCCACTTAGAATTCCGTCAGCCGGAGGTGTACTGTTGCCAACACAAGGAATGCCATAAAGTGACAATCGTGTACATTGTCCTGGCTCTTGACCTGCTCTCCAATAGTTCACTGGAATTCTTGCCTAGAGATGCTGTCTAGTGGTTTGCATTTGTAATTTCCTTCTTTAACCTCTGAGTGTCACAAAAGCCTGAAGCCGCGTGTCATCCCCTTTTTTATTGTTTTTAGACTAGTTCTCATATAGCCCAAGCTGGCCTCAAACTCTTCAATGCTCCTGCTTCCACCCCCCAGCTGCTGGCTTACAGGCGTGCTGTTCTAGGCTCTGATCCACATATTCGCGCTGACTGTGACCCCTGGGTCCCTCCGAGAATGATGCAGGTGTACAGTAAGAAATGCCACTTGTCACTTGGGCAGGTGTCAGCCTGAGTGCTCCATAAAGGGCCCGAAAGTAAATACTTGGGGCTTGGCAGGCCATGTGGTCTGTCTCAGGACTACCCAACCCTGACTCTATAGCATAAAAACAGCCATGGATACTGAGTAAACAAACGAATGTGACTCTATTCCAACAAAACTTTATTTGTAAAAAGAAAAAAAAAAAAAAAAGAAAATAGATTCCTTTGTCATACAGTATATCCTGATTATAATAGTTCCCCTCCCTCTACTCCTCCCAGTCCCTCCTCCCCTCTGGATCCACTCCCTTTCTGTCTCATTAAAAATGAACGGGTTTCTAAGATGTAATGACCAAACATGACAAAGTAAAATATAATAAGATGAAGCAAGAACTATCATACCGAGGTTGGACACTGCAACCCAGCAGGTGGAAAAGTCCCAAGATCAGGCACAAGAGTCAGAGACACACTCGTTCTCATAGTCAGGAGTCCCATAAAAGCACTAAGCTAATAGCTATAATAGATAAAGAGACTGGTGCAGACCCATGTAGGCCCAGTGCTTGCTTTTTAAGCCTCTGTGAGCTCTAACTAAAACTCCAAATACTATACCAAGTAGATATGGAGTGGACAACCTTGTCTTGTCCCTGGTTTGAGTGGAATTGCTTTGAGTTTCTCTCCATTTAATTTGGAGTTGGCCATAGGTTTGCTGTAAATTGCCTTCATTGTGTTAAGGTATGTCACTTGTATTCCTGATCACTACAGGATTTTTATCATGGAGGGGTGTTGGATTTTGTCAAAGGCCTTTTCTGCATCTAATGACATGATCATGTGGTTTTTGTCTTTGTTTGTTTATATGGTGGATTACATTTACTGATTGTTGTATAGTAAATCATCCCTGCCTCCCTGGGATAATGCCTACTTATTCATGGTGGACAATATTTTTGATATGTTCTTGGATTTGGTTTGCAAGTATTTTATTAAATATCTTTGCATCTGTGTTCATAGGAAATCAGTCTGTAATTCTCTTTTGTGGAAAGTTTATGCTGTTTGGATATCAGGGTAATTGTGATCTCATAAAATGAATTTGGCAAGTTCCTTCTGTTTCTGTTTTAGGAATAATTTGAAGAGTATCGGTGTTAACTCGTCTTTGAAATTCTGGTAGAATTCTGCTCTAAAACCGTCTGGCCCTGGGCTCTTTTTTGTTGGAAGATGTTTAATGACTACTTCTATTTCCTTGGGGGTTATAGGTCTATTTAAATTCTTTATCTGATCTTGATTTAACTTTGGTAAGTGGTACCTATTGAAAAAAATGCCCATTTCTTTTAGATTTTCCAATTTGGTTGAGTACAGGTTTTTAAAGTGTGTCCTTATGATTCTCTGGATTTCCTCAGTGTCTATTTTTATGCCCCCCCTTTTCATTTCTGATATTGTTAATTTGGATATTCTCTCTGTCTCTTAGTGTGGATAAGGGTTTGTCTATATTGCTGATTTTCTCCAAGAACCAATTGTATTGTTCTCTTTGTTTCTATTTTATTGATTTCAGCTCTCAGGTTTGATTGTTTCTTGCCATCTACTCCTCTTGGATGTGCTTACTTCGTTTTGTTCTAGAGCTTTCAGGCATGCTGTTAAAGTTGTTAAGTATAAGATCTCTCCAATCCCTTTTTTAATGTAGGCACTTACTGCTATGAACTTAACACTTAGCACCACTTTCATTGTGTTCCATAAGTTTGTGTATGCTATGTATTCCTTTTCACTGAATTCTAGAAAGCCTTTAATTTCTTTATTTCTGTCTTGATTCATTTTTTCATTCAGTAGAGCATTGTTCATTTTCCACGAATTTGTGAGCTTTCTGTTGTTTCTATTGATGTTCAAATCCAGCTTTAATCTGTGGTAGCCCTGATAGGATTCAGGGAAGTATTTCAGTTTTCTTCTGTCTGTTGAGACTTGCTTTGTGTCTCAGTATGTGGTCAGTTTTGGAGAAAATTCCATGAGGTGCTGAGAAAAAGGTATATTCTTTTGTGTTTGAATGAAATGTTCTGTAATTATCTGTTAGGTCCATTTGATTTATAACTTCTGTTAGCTCCAGTATTTCTGTATTTAGTTTTTGTCTCGATGACCTGTCCATGAGTGAAAGTGAGGTATTAAAGTGATCCACTATCAGTGAGTGAGGATCAATATGTGATTTAAGCCTAAATGATGTTTCCTTTACAAACTTGGGTACATAGATGTTAATAATTTAAATGTCATCTTGGTGGATTTTTCCTTTGATGAGTACATAGAATCCTTCCCTATCTCTTTTGATTAGTTTTAGTTTGAAGTCTATTTTGTTAGATATTAAAATGGCTACATCAGTTTTCTTCTTAGGTCCATTTACTTGGAATTTTTTTTTCACACTTTTACTTTGAGGTAGTATCTATCTTTGATGGTAAGGTGTGTTTCTTGGGGGCAGCAGAAGGATGGATCCTGTTTTTGCATCTGTTCTGTTACCCTGTATTTTTTTACTGGGGAATCGAGACCATTGGTGTTGAGAGATAACAGTGACCAATGATTGTTGATTCCTCTTATTTTGTTGTTATTGTTCTGGGTGGTGGTGGTGGTGGTGGTGGTGGTGGTGGTGGTGGTGGTGGTGGTGGTGGTGTTTGTGTGTATATGTGTATGTGTGTGTTTTCTTCCCTTCTTTTGATTTTGCTGGTGTGAGATGATTTATTTCCTGTGTTTTCATGGGTGTAGTTAACCTTAGGTTGGAGTTTACTTTCTAGCATCTTCTGTAGGGCTGGATTTATAGATAGATTTTGTTTAAATTTGACTTTATCATGGAACTATGCCTGATGACATGAGGTCCAGCCCAGGACCAACTCCTGCATTGTCCTCAGATTGCCACATATGTGCGTGTGCACATGTGCTTGTGTGCAAACACACATGAAGGGAGAGGGAGAGAGAGAAATGGTGTAAAAAGGAAAGGCAGATTGTTTAACTTTTCTTCGAAGTCGTTTGGTGACAGCTGGAATCGTTGCAGGAGCATCCAGTACTTGGGCAGCCATTCTTTGTTCTACATCCCTGCAAGACAAATGAATTCATGACTGCAGTGCTGAGAAGTTCACAGAAGATCAATAGGTAAGAAACACCTTCAAGTCACTCGTACTCTACTCTGACTTAGAAAGTATAAATCTATTCATGCGACTCTAAAAGCCAGGCTAAAATCAGAAATATTCTTGCTAACAGTAACGGTGAACACGTTGATTTTGGCTGTGTGCTAAGTGTCCTGAGTTTAGATGAACATCCCAATAACTGAATGCACTGTTTTACTTAGTTTTCAGACAGGGAGTCTGCTAACGCACAGAGGAGTTAGGCGTCTCTGTTAAAGTCACACAGCTAGTCTGGGGTGGGACTAGGACTTGACCCCAGGCATTTGACTTAGCACCACTGTTCTCACGGCTGCCCTCAGCCAGCTCAACAGCTGCTCAAGTTCACATGAAAGCTTTGGGCCATCATGAGGAATCAGAGGCCCCAGTTCTGTTCTGCCCTTCAACTACCTTGGTGAGAGATCCTCATTACTCTAGGATCACAAATGCAACTTACACCCTGTGGCTGGCATCAGGGTTTCTGGGATTCCAAGCAAGCCCACATCCTGGGGAAAGGCCTCATTTCTCTTCCTTTCGGCCACTCTCTGGTTCTCCGTCAGATACTACGATACAGCATTTATATTATATAAGCCTCACTTGTTTCCTAGAAATGTCAACTACATCACATCATGGCTGAGCATTGTGGGGCCAGTTGTTGGTCTGAATCTACCTCTGAGCTATGCTAAAGCAACATTGCAGGATGAGTGATTTGTTGACGAGCAAGGTAACGAGCAAAGCCTGGGTGCATGCTTCCTTGTTAGAAAGATGATGGTGTCTCTCTTACCCTTAGCTACACCGCGGGTCTGGGGTCAGTTTGCACTGTCTTTATTGGGCTGGGTCCTGGCTGGTTCTTCAGCATTCCAGGTATTTGAGAGGTGTTTACCTTGCTACAAGGGCACACACACAACCGCAGGAGGGGGTAGTTTTTATGTTATGGCCAATATTCTGGAAATAAGACTTTACTGCCCTCCTTTATTCTCTTTGCTTTTGTCTTATTCTTGTTCCCCAAGAAACTGCGGCATGGAGAACACCAAGAGTATACCTGAGAGGCCTCGGTGGTTATGGAAATGGGACTGCGGTACCTCCTGTCACCACGATTTGATGCAGATTTCTTTCCTTGAGAAGAAAACATCTGCAGACCTGTTTAGAACAGTGTTTGTGTGGAAGGACAAATCACAGATTCAGATCACTGTAAAGAGAAAAAAGGATCTAAATCAGTGACGTAGTTCAGACATCATCAGGGCTCACACAGGTTGTTTTCCTCTAGACACGGTTCTTCTTCTGTTGTGGAGATTGATGGAGAAATGTGTTTATGTGTTCAGTTTTATATAAGATGTATGAAAATTAAAATGTAGAACTTACTTGTTTCAGAAAATTAATGTCATAAAAATGATTTATCTTTGGAACTAGAAAATGTCATCCTGAATGAGGTAACCTAAACCCAGAAGGACAAACATGGTATGTACTCACTTATAAGTGGATACTAGATATAAAGCAAAGAATAATCAGACTGCAACCCATAGAACCAGGGAGGCTACACAGCAGGGGGGACCCTAGGATGACTGTGGCTTATAATAAGCTTTGTTTTTACTCAATTACTGGGCAAGCCTCAATGAAACATTTCACTATTAGGATAAGAATTTATATTGTATCAAGCTGATAATAGAAAAATAAGTAAATAAATAAATGAATGAATGAATGAATGAATAAAATGGGGAAAAATAAATAAAAAAAATTACTCAAATTATTCTCCCACAGTCAAATTCAGAAGCAATGGATTATTTCTCTGTCACTCCCTCAAACTGTGTCTGTGTGTGTACATTAAAAAAAGATACAAAATAAAGAATGTTCAAGCCAGGCCCAGTTTCTTCCTGCTACCTGCAATCCAGATGTATAACTCAGCACCATGTCTGCCTACCTGCCATCATGCTTCCCTCCATGACAATAATGGACAAAGCCTCTGAACTGTAAGCCAGCCCAATTAAATAATTTCCTTTATAAGAGTTGCCAGCTGGGCAGTGGTAGCACAATCCTTTAGTCCCAGCACTCAGGAGGCAGAGCCAGGTGGATCTTTGTGAGTTCAAGGCCAGCTTGGCCTACAGAGTGAGTTCCAGGACAGGCACCAAAACTCCACAGAGAAACCCTGTCTCAGGGGGAAAAAAAGAGAGAGTTGCCATAGTTGAGGTGAGTGACTCTTCTCCAGCCCAGAGAGTCCTGCCTCTGGGACCTATGCCCTGGGACACAACCAGTCCCCGGGAACCCCCACCCATCTCTGCCCCAGTTACCGGCCAGCAGGGAAAACTCCTGAGGGCAGGATCCCACACCAAACCACCCCCGCATTGGACCCAGCAATTTACAAGACTCATGCCGTACCCCAATACCCATCCCACTGCAACAGGAGATTTCTAGACAGCTTAGTATTGACTGTTGTATGGTCATTAGTGGCCAGTCTTATGCAGATCTATAATGAAAGGGAGCAAGCTGAGAAAGGGAAAATACAAGATGTACAATTTGAGGAGAAAGGGGGTACCAGGAACTGTAATGGAGCTATTATTCCCACAAGGTGAGAATAAGACCACTACCACAATTTTTGAGCCAAATTTGAAGAGAGCTTTATTAAATAATGGCCAGAATGATGGATACTGGCCAGGTCCATACTCAGGATTCCCAGAGAATGGCTACAAATTATGTTCATCAGGTGCTTATAAAGTCAAAACCCACAAGGCTATGTACTTTCTACCTTCATCCAATCAGGGGCAAGCATATACTCTGATGTAGTTCCTGCCTATATGTATGTGATCAAGCACACCCTGTGCAGTTGGGGTAACCACCTTGCTTACAAAAGTGAAAACATGTATCTTACATGAACAGTCCCAAATTCCAGGGAGTTATCTGTCCTTTGGCAAGTGAGGATTACAGGTTTATCTGTCCTTGGACAAGTGGAGTTTACAGATTAGAGATGTTTTTGTTCTACAGATTGCTTAAGCATAGTAATTAAAACCTAAAACATAGCTTTAGCCCTCCTAAGTCCTGTGTTCGAGGAGATCAACAGATTAAAGAAAAGCCTGATGCTAAAGGGAGTGGCGACCTCAGGGCAAGGCCCTACCCAGATAAGCTTCCAGCTTGTAAAAACTAATTAAAGAAAAGTTAGGGTATGGTGTGATGGCCCAAACTTTTAATCCCAGCACTTGGGAGGCAGAGGCAGGTGTGTCTCTGAGTTCAAGGCCAGCCTGGTCTACAGATGGAGTTCCAAGACAGCCAGGCTTAGACAATGAAAGGAAAACATTGGAAACAAAGTGTATTTGAACAAGGGGACCACATTCCCACCCCAGCAAGCAGCAGAACTTGGCAGCTTTGGCCATGTGGTTCTGGTTTTAGAGCCAAGGGTACAAGAAAGAGGTTGTGGAATCTCCCTCTGCAACTAAGGAAAGCTGCTGAGGCCAGGCAAGTGCCAGGGGTGTCCCTGAATGGAGGTCCAGAGAGGCCATTGCATGGAGCTGTGAAGGTGAAGCCTTGATGCCTTGGAGACCCCAGAGTGTTGAAGATGCCATCGTCTTGGGATATCAGTTGAGGATAGCTGCTAACAGAGTGGAACCAGCCCATGAGAGAGGAGTGTGTTGGAGTTCACAAAGTTGAATGGAGTTGGAAATCTGAAGAGTGTTTTGACATCAGGCATAGAGATGCAGAATTTGGAGTTTGCCCAGCTGGTTTTTGGTCTTGCATTGATCCAGTATTTCCTCATTATGCCCCATCCCTTTTGAAATGGTAATATATATCCTGTGACATTATATGTTGGAAGTATGTGATCTGTTTTTTTAAATTTTTATTTGATAGGGATTACAGTTAAGAAAGAGATTGTCATGAGTCTCAGAAGAGACTTTGAACTTTTGTCTTTAAACATAGGTGAGACTCTGATAGACTGTGGGGACTTTTGAAGTTGGACCAAATGCATTTTTGCATTATGATATGCCTATAAGCCTATAGGGACCAGGGAGTGGAATGTGGTGGTTTGAATGAAAATGGACCCCATAAGCTCATAGGGAGTGGCACTATTTGAAAGGATTAGGACAGGTAGCCTTGTTGGAGTAGGCGTGGCCTAAGACAGAGTCTCTTCACGACAATAGAACAGTAACTAAGACAGTAGGTCAGCCTTTTATCCCCTCTGTTCTTCCACACATCTCCCTGCTTTCCTGCTCTCTGTAGTGAGTCAAAGCAGTATAAGGTTTTAGCCAAGTGCAGTGACTGGCCTTGAACTTTCCAGCCTCCAGAACTGTGAGTCAAAATAAAACTGTTCCATTATGAATCAATGTCAGATGTTTTGTTACAGCAAGAAAAACAGAGCCACGTGTGGCCAGAGATGGCTTTGTGAGAATGGGGTCTGTACTAGGGTAAGGCAGTGTTCCTCTGGAGAATCGTGGAAGTCTATAAGAGCACCCCAGTCCACATCTGCCAGATAAGGACTGAACTCTCAATGAGCAGAAGTAGAAAAGGGCTCATCTAAACTGCTAGGAAAGCTACATGTGAGTTTAAGGTGCTAAGCTGCACATATTCCTGCTAGGGTGAGAATCTGTGTATCTGCTTGCTGGACACTTTGCTGTTACCGCTTAACATCTTCATAGGTTTCCCTTCACCCTCCCTAATATGAACAAAGATTTCTCAGCAAATCGTTTCTCAAGCCTGTCCTTGTGGTGTGTGTGTGTGTGTGTGTGTGTGTGTGTGTGTGTGTGTGTATGTGTGTGTGTTCTAAATAATGTACTTATCTGGAAATACTAGTTATTCTTTGCTAGAAAGCTCTGAGATGTTACCCTGCTAGCTCAGACCTAGTTAAGGTTTGGTTTTAATTTGTGTTCTTTCAGTACTGGAGATTGAACCTAGGGCCTTGCACATGCTAAGCAAGCTCTTCTCAGCCTCTTTTTGCTCTTTATTTTGAGACAGGGTTGCCCAGGTTGGCCTTGAACTCACTTTATAGCCCAGGTGCGTCTTGAACTCTGCTCCTCCTGTGGCAACCTCCCTAGTAGCTGGGACTCCAAGCCTGTGCCACAGGCCTGACTTACCAGGAGCTTTCAGTGGTTGCTCATTCAGTGTTTGCTCCCTTGTTCGTGGTGGATCATAAGTCACTGAAGATGAGGACATTATTTGGGAGCCTGGCATGGTGGCACATGCCACTAATTCCAGGAATCGCCCAACAAAAATATACTCTGTGTGTGAAAATAGAAAATAAAGTTGGCAAATATATTGAGAGAGAAAGAGCATGGAGTTGGGTGGGTGGGGAAGTGCTGGGAGAGGGAAAACCATGATCAGAATATAGTCTATGAAAAACATTTTTTTTTTCAATTAAAAAATAGGGCTCTTCTAGCACTCAGGAGGCAGAGGCTGGTGGACCACTGAGTCCGAGGACAGTCTGATTTATATTGCAAACTACTGGCTAGGACTACATGGTGAGATTCTGTCTGAAAAAATAAATAAATAAATAAATAAAAGCCTTTGTCCCTCATCCTCTCGTGATGGATCACGAAAGGCTCCAGTCTCCTGTGGGGATGGAGTTCTCCAGCCAGTGGGAAAAGCAGAGTCAGTCATGATCAGATCAAAATGGGGTCTTCTCATTTTTCCCCCATGGTAGTGTCAGTTGTATATATGTTCCTGAGATGGCAGGATGTGGGGTTCTGCTCTGTAAAATCACCCTTTTCTTAATCCCCAGTGATATGCCAATGAGGTTTTTAAGTTGAGGGTAAATCAAGAATGTGAAACTATTCTCAGATGTTTATCACACTTGTATCATATGGGAATGCCCACCCCCCACCCCCACCCCAGTGCTACATGCTAGGGAAGCCATTTACCACCTCAGCTCTCAGCTGGAATTCTTTTGATATACTTTGTGTGTATTCATGTATCAGTGCGTGTGTACCTGCACATGTGTGTGCAGGTACCTGTGGGAGCCAAAGGGGATTGGATCCCCTGGAGCTGTGAGCTGACTGATATGAATTCTGGAAACGTAACTCAGGGTCCTCTGCAAGAGCAATAAATGGTCTTTTGTTTGTTTTGTCGTTTTTTGAGACAAGGTTTCTCTGTGTAGCCCTGCCTGACCTGGATCTCGCTCTGCAGACCAGGCTGGCCTCGAAAGATCCGCCTGCCTCTGCCTCCCGAGTGCCAGGATTGAAGGTGTACGCCACCACTGTCAGGTAGCAGTAAACACTCTTACCCCTGAGCCATCTCAAATTTCTCACCTGACATTCTTACATGTATCATGTTCCAATGCTGGGGAATCCTTGGTCCGATGAAGACGAGAGGCTGGGGGGGCGGCGGCGGCGGCGGCGGCGGCGGCGGCTCTGGACCTTAGGATACACGCTTTAGCTAAGGGCTGGGAAGCAGGTCTCAAGGAAGGCTTTGAAGTAAAGAAACGTGAGCAGACTGATGAGTGACACATCCTCTCTCCAACCAGGAGGTAGTGAGGAGTGATGCTGCCTGCTATGTGCCACACTGGAAGAGCCGACATGGTCGAGCTGAGAAATTTTTTTTTTTTTTTAACTTCCCGGAGAACCACCAAGAACTGCTGAAGGATTGGAGATGGTAAAGTAGTCACATTTGTGTTTTAGAGAGAACGTGCTTTGAAAATTCTGCTGCTCTATGCACTTATCTCACAGAGCTTTTTCAGGATTCTCCATCATCGCGTTAATAAAGGAGAGGATGACAGGTGTCTGGCTGAGTACCAAGGACGTTTCAGTTCTTACCTGGGGTCTTCCTAAACAAAACCTGCTAGTGTCTCCAGAATCCTGAGCCACCTGAGGCAGGGCATCAAGCCTCTCTGAGCCTGTTTTCTGATGTGTCAGATGTCTGAAAGTTTATTTAATCCAGTAAAA